TTCAGTTTCATTTTCAGTTTCCATTTTCTAGATTTTGCAGCTTTCATTTTCAGCTTCATTTTTCTCTTTCAGCTTCATTTTTCACTTTCAGCTTCATTTTTCTCTTTGTTTCATTTTTCTCTTTCAGCTTCATTTTCAGTTTCAGTTTCCATTTTCTAGATTTTGTAGGTTCCATTTTCAGCTTCATTTTTCTTTTTCAGCTTCATTTTCCATTTCCCATTTTGCAGTTCCATTTTGAAGCATAGATATATGTGGTATATAGTAATTATATATGAGCCTAATCATTTGATCTTTAATCATCTGGTAGGTGAATTCCAGCTGCTTTCTGCTGAGAATGTCGAATTCTGGTTTTTCTCGTTTATCACTTAAGTGTCTAGTAGTGTTTCTATAACCAGTCGTGTAGACAGAGACAAGTTTGTGCAGTTTCAGTGTGTGTAGTGTAGGCGCTTATGGTTGCTGTCCGCCGAACCATCTCGACCCTGAAGGAGACATTCCGGTGAGTGCTTTGAATTTTCCTTCTGCATGTGTTGCGGTAAATTTTGAAAAGGTACACTATCAATCAGATCATAGAGATGATCGCAAAGACCATTTGTCATGTGGAAAACTTTTGCCTACACCCCCCCCCCCCTACTGGAAAGCTAAGAAAAATGTAACTCCCATCACCCCTCACTTATGAAGTAACACTCATCCCCCAGGCCAACAAAGAAACATTTAATGTCCATTCCACTACACTTGTACAATATGCGACAATGGAATAACCCCCCCCCCCCTCCCTGCCCGGGTCGCACAATCAATGACGTGTTTGATCACGTTTAGTCTCTACAGTGTTCGTCTACTCGGTCGCTTAATCAGTGTACTTGTGAGTGGTTGCTGTCTGCCGCCTAATCCTCCTGATCTTGAAGGATGCAATCGGTAAGTGCTTTGTCATATTCTAGTGCATTTTAGGTACGTATTTCGAGATATAGATATTATCAATGTTTATTCTCCCAGTTGCATAAAAGCTCGGGAATTGAATCCCGAAATGAGCCTAACCATTTGATCTTCTATCATCCGGTAGGTGAATTCCAGCTGCTTTTTGCTGAGAATGTCGAATTCTGGTTTTTCTCTTTCAGCACTTTAGTGTTTAGTAGTGTTTCTATAACCAGTCGTGTAGACAGAGACAAGTTTGTGCGGTTTCAGTGTGTGTAGTGTTCATCTACTAGGTCGCGTAGTGTGTTTGTGCACTTGTGGTTGCTGTCCACTGAACCAAGATAACCCTGAAGGAGAATTCTCGGTGAGTGATTTGATTTTTTCTTGTGCATGTGTTCCGCTAAATTTGGAAAATTCTCACTATCAATCTGACCATGACGATTGATTGCGAGACCCCTGTATCATTTGTGAACCATTTAGCTATACTTACCCCCCCCCCTTCCCCGGATTGAAAGTAAAATTCAATGTTCATTTTACCACACATAAAAATTCGGTAATGGAATAAACCCCACCCCCCACCAACCCACCCTTGGGTAGCGTAATCAGATACGCCTTTGCGGAATTTTCGTCTGTCTAGTGTTCGTTTACTCGGTCGCGTATTTAGTGTAGTGTCAGTGTCCGTTGTGCCAGTGTGTGTGAGGTTGCTTTCTGCCTAGCCATCTCGATTCTGAATATGCAATCGGTGAGTACCTACTTTCGCCATTCCAGCTTCATTTTTCACTTTCAGCTTCATTTTTCACTTTCAGCTTCATTTTTCACTTTCAGCTTCATTTTTCACTTTCAGCTTCATTTTTCACTTTCAGCTTCATTTTTCTCTTTCAGCTTCATTTTTCTCTTTCAGCTTCATTTTTCTACTTTCAGCTTCATTTTTCACTTTCAGCTTCATTTTCCATTTTCAGTTTCAATTTTCTAGATTTTGCAGCTTTCATTTTCAGCTTTATTTTCACTTTCAGCTTCATTTTTCACTTCCAGCTTCATTTTCTATTTTCAGTTGTAGTTTCCATTTTCTAGATTTTGCAGCTTTCATTTTCATATTCATTGTTTATTTTCAGTTTCATTTTCAGTTTCCATTTTCTAGATTTTGCAGCTTTCATTTTCAGCTAGATTTTCTCTTTCAGCTTCATTTTTCACTTTCAGCTTCATTTTTCTCTTTGTTTCATTTTTCTCTTTCAGCTTCATTTTCAGTTTCAGTTTCCATTTTCTAGATTTTGTAGGTTCCATTTTCAGCTTCATTTTTCTTTTTCAGCTTCATTTTCCATTTCCCATTTTGCAGTTCCATTTTGAAGCATAGATATATGTGGTATATAGTAATTATATATGAGCCTAATCATTTGATCTTAAATCATCTGGTAGGTGAATTCCAGCTGCTTTCTGCTGAGAATGTCGAATTCTGGTTTTTCTCGTTTATCACTTAAGTGTCTAGTAGTGTTTCTATAACCAGTCGTGTAGACAGATACAAGTTTGTGCAGTTTCAGTGTGTGTAGTGTGTGTAGGCGCTTATGGTTGCTGTCCGCCGAACCATCTCGACCCTGAAGGAGACATTCCGGTGAGTGCTTTGACTTTATTTGTGCATGTGTTGAGGTAAATTTTGAAAAGGTACACTATCAATCAGATCATAGAGATGATCGCAGGGACCATTTGTCATGTGGAAACACATTGGCTACACCCCCCCCCCTCCCTACAGGAAAGCTAAGAAAAATGTAACGTAACGCCCATCACCCCACACTTATGAAGTAACACTCATCCCCCAGGCGAACAAAGAAACATTTAATGTTCATTCCACTACACTTGTACAATATGCGACAATGGAATAACCCCCCCCCCCCTCCCTGCCCGGGTCGCACAATCAATGACGTGTTTGATCACGTTTAGTCTCTACAGTGTTCGTCTACTCGGTCGCTTAATCAGTGTACTTGTGAGTGGTTGCTGTCTGCCGCCTAATCCTCCTGATCCTGAAGGATGCAATCGGTAAGTGCTTTGTCATATTCTAGTGCATTTTAGGTACATATTTCGAGATGTAGATATGATCAATGTTTATTCTCCCACTTGCATAAAAGTTCGGGAATTGAATCCCGAAATGAGCCTAATCATTTGATCTTAAATCATCTGGTAGGTGAATTCCAGCTGCTTTCTGCTGAGAATGTCGAATTCTGGTTTTTCTCTTTCAGCACTTTAGTGTTTAGTAGTGCTTCTATAACCAATCGTGTAGACAGAGACAAGTTTGTGCAGTTTCAGTGTGTGTAGTGTGTGTATGCGCTTGTGGTTGCTGTCCGTCGAACCATCTCGACCTTGAAAGAGAAATTCTGGTGAGTGCTTTGAATTTTCCTCCTGCATGTGTTGCGGAAAATTTGAAAAATGATCACTATCAAGCAATCAATCAATTTGAACACATTAGCTATACCCCCTCCCCTTCCAGGATTAAATGAAAAATTTAGTGCTCATTTCACTACACTTATAAGCTTATAACATTAATAACATCCCCTCCACCCAGAAAACAAAGAAAAATATAAAGCTTATTGCCATGCATTTATAAATATTCGGCAATGAAAAAATCCCAACCCCCGCCACACGGGTCGCGTAATTAGAGAAGTGATTGAGCACCTTTCGTCTGTGTAGTGTTCGTTTACTCGGTCGCGTATTTAGTGTAGTATGAGTATCCGTTGTGCCAGTGTGTGTGTAGTTGCTGTCTACCTAGCCATCTCGATTATGAATGTGCAATCGGTGAGTACCTATTTTCGCAATTTTTTGTGCATGTGTTCAATGTTGCGTAACCCTTTGATTTTCAGCAAAAGTTTTGTTCGCTTTGTAAAGCACTTTTAGTTAGTAACTTTATTTAAGGCGTCATCTACTTTCAACCTGCAGTTGCTGTTTCCGAATTAATTTCCGATTTCAGTTTCCATATTATATTTTCAGCATCACCTTCAGCGTCGGTGTTCATCTTGTGGGTATTGCAGTTACAGCATGTAGTTTTCTGTTTTAGGTTCTAGCATCGTTTTGCAGCTTTCATTTTCAGCTTCATTTTTCTCTTTCAGCTTCATTCTTCACCTTCAGCTTCATGTTTCACTTTCAGCTTCATTTTTTACTTCCAGCTTCATTTTTTATTTTCAGTTGTAGTTTCCATTTTGTAGATTTTTTGCAGCTTTCATTTTTCTCTTTCAGCTTCATTTTTTATTTTCAGTTTCATTTTTCATTTTCAGTTTCAGTTTCCATTTTCAGTTTCAGTTTCCATTTTCTAGATTTTGCAGTTTTCATTTTCAGCTTCATTTTTCACTTCCAGCTTCATTTTTCACTTTCAGCTTCATTTTTCACTTTCAGCTTCATTTTTCATTGTCAGCTTCATTTTCTACTTGCAGTTTGCAGTTCCATTTTGAAGCATAGATATATGTGGAATATAGTAATTATATATGAGCCTAATCATTTGATCTTAAATCATATGGTAGGTGAATTCCGGCTGCTTTTTGCTGAGAATGTCGAATTCTGGTTTTTCTCTTTCAGCACTTTAGTGTTTAGTAGTGTTTATGTAACCAGTCGTGTAGATAGGGACAAGTTTGTGCAGTTTCAGTGTGTGTAGTGTTCGTCCACTAGGTCGCGTAGTGCGTGTAGGCGCTTGTGGTTGCTGTCCGTCTAACCATCTCGACCCTGAAGGAGACATTCAGGTGAGCGCTTAGACTTTACTTGTGCATGTGTTGCGGTAAATTTGAAAAATGATCACTATTAATCTGACCATGGCGATTAAACGATAGAACACAGTATCATTTTTGAACACATTAGCTATACCCCCCCCCCCCAGGATTAAAAGAAAAATTTAGTGTTCATTTCACTACACATAACGTCCTCTCCACCTGGAAAACAAAGAAAGATGTACCTAATGTTCGTTTCAATACGCCCATAAAATTGACGCCCCGGCCACCAACCCGGAAAACAAGGAAAAATATAAAGCTTATTGCCATGTACTTATATAATATTTTGCAATGGGTAACTCCCAACCCCCGCCACCCGGGTCGCGTAATTAGAGAAGTGTTTGAGCACTTTTCGTCTGCGTAGTGTTCGTCTACTCGGTCGCGTATTTAGTGTAGTGTCAGTGTTAATCATCTCAATCCTGAAGATGCAATCGGTAAGTGTTTTGACATATTCTTGTGCACGTTAGCTGCGTATTTCGAATTTTTTGCGGGAAAAAAAAACGAGCACCTTTTATTAGCTATACCTCCCTCACAAATAAAAATTTTAAGTTCGTTTTCTTTCACTTATATAATACCTCCCCCCCCCTCGCCCCGGAAAAATTTAAGTTCTCCCCACACTTATAAAATTACTCCCTCTACCAGGAAAACAAAGAGAAATGTAGTGTTAATTTCTCCTCACTGATAAAATGACCCCCCCCCCTCTCTTCTCAGAAAAAAAAAATATTCAATGTTTATTATCCCACATGCTTAAAAAATCGGGAATTTTATCCCGAAATGAGCCTAACCATTTGATCTTTAATCATCTGGTAGGTGAATTCCAGCTGCTTTCTGCTGAGAATGTCGAATTCTTGTTTTTCTCTTTCAGGATATTTAAGTGTGTAGTAGTGTTTCTATAAACAACAGTCGCATAGACAGAGACGAGAACTTTCAGTGTATGTAGTGTTCGTCTCCTTGGTCGCGTAGTGTTTATAGGAGCGCGTGGTTGCTGTCCGCCGAACCATCTCGATCCTGAAGGAGTAATCGGTGAGTGCTTTGACTTTTCCTTGTGCATGTGTTGCGGTAAATTTTGAAGTCTCACCATCAATCAGACAATATGGTGATTAGTCGCAAGGGCCCTTTGTCAAATTTGAACCAAATAGTTGCCCCCCCCTCCCCAATAAATCAGAAAAATTAATTTCCTACACTTATAAAACTACCCTCGCACCCACACGCCTAGGAAAACACAGAAAAATTTAATGTTCACTTCCCTACACTAATAATAATAATAATAATAATAGATTTATTTCTCATCAAAGAGCAGACAGGCCTAAGTACAGATGAGAAATTGTAAATATAAACGTAAATAATGCAAGTAAATTTCTATAAAGTATATCACAGAAAAAAGATAAAGATATCGCGTACGTTACAATTTAAAATACGTAATATATACGTATAATACATACGTGTATCAGTGACGTACACAATGCTTGCACAATGTTAATTTCCCTTCATTTATAAAATGGCCCCCTCCCCCTCCCAGAAAAACTAATAAATATTCAATGTTTATTTTCCTCTATGCTTAAAAAATTCGGGAATTGAATCCCGAAATGAGCCTAATCATTTGATCTTTAATCATCTGGTAGGTGAATTCCAGCTGCTTTCTGCTGAGAATGTCGAATTCTATAATTTTAAGTATGTACAGTTAAGAGAACATAAAAATTGTAATAAAGTTCGGCAAATTTTAAAAAATGAGTGCGTATTTAATACAATAACAACAATGCTATGAGACCGATGACGGTCAAGAGAAAGTAATGCATTGTCTTCAACTTCTGACGTCTAACTCTGGCCTTGGGAATCGTCTCGAGGTGGTCCCCGAGCAGATAGACTCGCAGCCCTCTCACGTAGGTATGAAAGTATAGATCCCAATCCAGACTCTCCATGCTAAATTCAAAGAGCCTCCTATCTTCACCGTTCATCTTCCTCCACAGTGCGCGGGTGTTGTCATTGTTGAAGCGCCACTCTCTCGCGGTGAAGCGCGCGAATCCACTCAACGCGTCGCCGATGCTGCCGTATTTCTTTAACGCTCCGTAATTCCGACCGAGGCAACGGCCGAAAGCGTCAATCAGCGCTGCGGGAGCGAGGTGGAGGAGGCGGTGGAGGAGCGAGTAAGCGAATCTGCCCGATCTCGGCGCAAATATCACGTGCCACACTTGGCGAGACGGTGGGATTTGGAGAAAGTGGTGGATTGCCAGGTCGGTGCATGTACCTAAAGCACACCTTTACCCCGAGTCACATCTTTCGAACTTACTCCATCGAATTGGTTTTTCGGGGGTGCTAACGTAATTGTAAATGGCAACGTCGCAATTTTCCAAGGGGATTTCGAGGTTAATATTGGAGCCTCTGCAAGTTTGGTTTTAGTTACCGAGTTGGAAGTTGGTCGACTTACTTTCGCATGGATATATCCCAGGCGGCGGCTAGCATGCAGTTGATAACGTGGTCAGCCGGCACCATATCGGCGACGTTGCTCATTTTGCACCGTAAAGTGCGGATGTAGCCCAGTGATACCCCCACGATCACGCCGCCTAGGCCGTTCTGGTTTTGCACCCAACCGGCAACTGGTTCCTTGACCGTGCCGATCACTGAAATGACATTAAGTAATTTGTGCGCCACTTTCGAAACTTACCAACAGATGGCCGTACTATCGCGATGGGTAGATCGTTTCCTTCTCTACGGATGACATCCTCCGCGATTGCTTTGGTAAATGTGTGAGTATTTGACCACGCCCCCAATAATCTGCAATGTGTGTCGTTAGTTTGCACCTAGATAATGGAGGTGAGTTTTACGTGGGAGCGATGGCATCCAGTACGTCCCCTTTCAGTATGTCAGTGAGTGTCAGCAAGTCGTCTCCCGTCATTGCCGGCTCGTAAAAGACTTCTTTGATTTCTTTGTTGGAACAGGTGCAAAATGCCGTTGAGATGTAAACGATCGACTGTGACAACATTACTTTGTATTTTGCGATGCTTGAGAGCAAGTGAAGCGTCATGATGTGAGGTTAGAAGAGCACGTACACTAATTTCGGAGTTACGTATTCCAACAATCAAGTTTAATCCCCTTTTGTTCTCTAACGGCGATTTTTTTGTAGCGAAAAATAAGCTAGCGCGTTTAATTAAACTGTCCTTGACCGAACACAAGTCGCAAACAAACGACCTACTGTAAGGACTTGTTAACTGAAGAAACGAATTGCAGATGTCGTTGCAGAAGCCGACTTTCGGATGATAAATGATGACGTGAAAGTTTACTTACTTGGAGATTACGCATCCTTTTCGCTAGCTTTACAAGCTCTTTGGTCGCACCGATGTTGGTCAAGCTGGCCGTGGAAAGTTTCTCGTTAAGTTTCATCGTCGAGGCGCAATGAAAAATGCAGTTCACATCGCGTAGAAGAATTTCCAAGTGGACGTCGTCCATCCCGAGATCGGAAAGCGTGCAGTCTCCCTTCATCATCGAGACTTTCCGTAGCGCTCGTGCGTTCTCGCGTTTCAGCCGATTGAACAACTGAAATTTGGGGCTCATTATTCTCTCTGGTCATCTTTTTATACTTCGTACATATGTTAGGGGTTGTCTGGCATATACTCGTTTACCAACAGAAGGCAGTTCTGGGGTTTATAGGGAAAGGGTTATTGTGACAATGGTCATCGACATTCCATACTCCTCCAGACCCCCCAGTATCGAGTATTACATCTTTGATGGTTGTTGTTCCACTCCCACCCCTTATTCCCGAAATGGTCACCGCCATTTTCGTTTTTTGCGGGGGGGGGGGTTATCCCATACCCCCTTTAAACGCTTTCTAGAAGGTGTTAGCGGGGTTTCTGGAATACTGGGTGGTTTCAACCCCCGTCGCTTCATCATAATTTCCCCGAAATGGTCATCGACGCCCATTTAACCGAAATACTCACTTCGCTCTCGAAAAACTGCTCGAACCGCTCCTCGCACGACATGCTCGGCCCTTCTCGCATCAAAACGTAAATCCTTTCGACATCCGGACACAGACGCAGCAGCTTTTCGACGAGTAACTTTCCCAAAAATCCGGTCGCGCCCGTCACGAAAACGGTGGCGCCCCGAAAGCACCGCCTGATCTGGCTGGGTTCGGCGATTTGGTGCACCATGTGCGCGGCGGTGATGTCGCCGCCTTCCCTCTCCGGGACGTCCATCGCGTACGACTGCTTCGGCGAACTTGACCGGAATTGTATGCAAATTCGCGACACCTCCGTTAGAGAACAATTGAATTTGAATTTCCATCGTTCGATAAAGTTACAGATTGCATTAACCTTAAGTCTATACAGGGTGGTCACCGGCAATAATCAAGTACAATTCTACACTTTATTATAATTTACAAAAAAAGCTTTAGAATACAAAAGCAAACACCCAAAAACGCCGCGCAGACAAACGCAACTAAAGCATAGTGCATAACGAGAAGCTTGTAGTATTTCACTCTCCCCTGTGGTAACGTGTCGATCGGATCCTTCAAAAGGTAGACGCGCCCTCCACGGGCGAACGAGTAGAAGTAGGAGTCCCAGTCGAATTCGCGCAGGTCAAACCCGAACGTCTCCTTATCCACCGGACTCATACGCTGATACAGACTCTGCGTGTTCTGATTGGTGAAGTCCCACTGGCGGACCGCGAAGTACGAAATGACGTCGGTGAACTTTCCGACCTTTTGGTATCCCTTGACCAACCTGAAAGTACACCTATCACTTTCGATTCTAAAAATGTAACCCGACATACAGTGGCTGCTTTCCAATGCAGAGCGCCAGAAAATCGACGACGTAGGCGGGTATGTAGTGGAAGAGTATAACGCATAGGACGTGCATGAAATAGTTAGAGTTTAGGATGAAGAAGTGGTGCCAGAGTTGAAGAGGCGATGGTACCTGCTTCAAATAGTGCTTCGAGTATTCCATCCATACCCCTGTAACGAGTCAGTCACAAAGATCGGTTAACCGCGTCAAATACTTACGCCAGGTGATTGTCGTCTGCGTGGAGCACACGTAGTTGAATACGGACACTTCGCTGTTATCGTTAGTAATTTCCTTGTTCATAGACTCTCTGCAAGAAGAAGATTAATTATAAACAACGAGGGTAAAGCGGTGTTTAGAGTATCATCATCACTTTCTTCCACAAAACGTCTATCCTTCACTACTCTCATGTTTGGGGAAGGATTATTAAGTCTCTTCTCCGTACTCCAGGGAACATAGCACCGGAGGGTCTGGAATACTCCCCAGTACACACGACGGTACAAATACAATACATAAGTCACACGAATACCCCGGGGGCCAAAAGTGAGGGGCGAGAATGTACATGTCACAAAATGAGATAAAGCGAGTATTTGAAATCTGAATTAATAACTGATCGACGTCAATGAAATTTTAGAATGTGATTGCCCTTCTGTTGCTGTTAAAAAAAATACATAAGTCACACGAATACGCCCAGGGCCAAAAGTGAGGGGCGAGAATGTACATGTCACAAAATGAGATAAAGCGAGTATTTGAAATCTGAATTAATAACTGATCGACGTCAATGAAATTTTAGAATGTGATTGCCCGTTTATTGCTGTTAAAAAAAAATACATAAGTCACACGAATACGCCCAGGGCCAAAAGTGAGGGGCGAGAATGTACATGTCACAAAATGAGATAAAGCGAGTATTTGAAATCTGAATTAATAACTGATCTACGTCAATGAAATTTTAGAATGTGATTGCCCTTCTGTTGCTGTTAAAAAAATACATGTCACACGAATACCCCCAGGGCCAAAAGTGAGGGGCGAGAATGTACATGTCACAAAATGAGATAAAGCGAGTATTTGAAATCTGAATTAATAACTGATCGACGTCAATGAAATTTTAGAATGTGATTGCCCTTCTGTTGCTGTTAAAAAAAATACATAAGTCACACGAATACCCCCAGGGCCAAAAGTGAGGGGCGAGAATGTACATGTCACAAAATGAGATAAAGCGAGTATTTGAAATCTGAATTAATAACTGATCGACGTCAATGAAATGTTAGAATGTGATTGCCCTTCTGTTGCTGTTAAAAAAATACATAAGTCACACGAATACCCCCAGGGCCAAAAGGCCACTAAGGCTACCAACCGGAGACGACCACCTGTCTTCGAGCTACCTCTCGAGCGAGAATGCTTCGGCGGGCCCTCGACGTCACCTAACTTAGAGAGGATAGGGTTTTAGTGGGTAAACCTCAAGGGAGTCCCACACACCCCCCGCTATAGAGCCGAGCGGGGCAGCCTATAAAAGGTTTCCCAAACCTCTATAAAAAAAAAAAAAAAAAAAAAACGGGGTCTCGACATACCTAATTAATTCATTGTCAATGAAATGCTTTGCGTTATCGTTTGCAGTTAAAAATGCCATCATTGGTTCAACAATTTTTTAGACTACGTCACGGGTTTCGATGTAAAAATATCTAAAATAAGCAGTTGTTACCTTTTTTTCTATCTTACATGGGTCCATATAGGTATATTCCATACAGTCCTACAGTTGTGGGTTCAGAACCATACACTAAGAAGGACTTCACAACCCTTTCCCTATAAATCTCAGTACCTCCTTATGGTAGTGTTCTGGAAATGGCAATCGAACGGTCGTGTGTACTGGGGGGTGTTCCATACCCCCCAGACCCCCCGGTAACACTTTCTTCCGCGATCAGTTTGTCTCTCAGGACTCGTATGACAAGTTGTTAGGGTAGAATATGAGGTCCTCTTCTGTGTACTACAGAGAACGTAGCACCGGGGGTCTGGGGGGGGGGGGTATGCAGCACTAAAAGGCACTATCGGCATCGGTTTCGTGAGTAGTTCTTTAAAAATGTGTAAAGAGGCAGCACTGCATTTGGGGTAAACCATTTGCAAACGGCTTCGGTGGGAAAAGTGCTTTCAAAAAGTGAACATTACACCTGGGTGTAATGACGCCCTGGTTGTTTTCCAAGAGATTGACAAACGTCGATTTCGCTGGCAATTAATTAAACGACAAGGACGCAGAATGACACAATTCAAACGCATCGCAATGCAAACAACTTGAAAGACAATTAAACCAGGTCGCCGTACTCGTGGAGGTCTTCCAGTTTTACGGAACCTTCTACGGACGCAAACACAACAAGTGCGCACTTACTTGTTCCCGATGCTCCAGGCGGCCGCGATCGCGCTATTAATCACGTAATCGGCGGGGACGATGTCGGCTACGCAATCCTTCTTGCAGTGCAGCGTGCGGATCAACCCCAAGGCGATGCCGACCGTGATTCCGGTCACGCCGTACATGTTGTCGATCCAACCGGCCAGAGGGCCCTTGGCGGTCGCCACCACTGTAAACAAACGGCGTTAGAGGTGGACGACGGTCGGTTTTGTAGGTACCTATGGAAGGGCGAACGATCGCGATCGGCAATCCTCTGGCGCTGCTTCCGACGACCTCTTCGGCGACGGCCTTTGTGAACACGTAAGTGTTGGGCCACTCGCCTAGGAGCCTGTAACCGTTTGCGTTAACATGGGGGGTGTAATTAGGGCGGTCTTACTTACGTTGGTGTGACCTTGTTGAGGAAGTCGTCGCTGCAGGTGTCGACAAGCGTCAGCAGTTTCTCCCCGGTGATTGGGGTTTCGTAGACGACTTCCTGGATGTCCTTCCTGCAGCAGTGGGCGTAGGCCGTCGAAATGTATATGAACGATTTTAAATTGATCATCTGCTTCGCCATGTTGACGAGATCCCGGGTGGCCCTCACGTTGATGTAGGCGGCCGTGCGGATCTTCTCGTCGAACTTGACGGTGGCGGCGCAGTGGAAGACGCAGGTGACGTTCTTCAGCAGCGTCTCCCTGTCATCACCGCCCAATCCAAGCTCGGGCTTTATGCAGTCGCCCGCGACCAAGACCACCTTCTCCATGAACTTGGGCTGTTCGTTCTTGAGCTGCTCGAAAATCTGCACAAGCCGGCGGTTAATTTTGAACCCCTTTCGAGGGCCGGGTACTTACGACATTGTCGAAGATTTCCGCGCCCCGATCGGCGACCTTCTTCCCTTTCTTCTCGCGTATCAGAAGATACAATTTCTCCAAATCGCCGCAGGAACGCAGCAATTTCTCCGTGATGAGCTTGCCCAAAAAGCCCGTCGCGCCTGTTACGAAGACGTGACCGCCCGAAAAGTACTGGGCAATTTTGGACTTCTCGGGGACGGTCTGCACCATATCCGCGTAAGTGATGTCGCCACCTTCGCGCGTCATGGTCATTTTTTTTTAAAAGAATCTCGGTACCTCGCCCGCTATCCTACAACTGAGCACATTTTCAACAAAAAAGAAAAACCCAGCTGTTCTTTGTACTTGAGATTCCCCCACCAACCTCGCGACGGAGCAATAATCAAGAAAATTTGGAAAAAAATCTCGCCTAATTGCCTGCGTTATCACCGCGAAGGGAAAATTACCAAAACACACTTAACGAAAATCGGTCCTCACTAATTAAGAGTAGACGATCCTTGAACCGATGAGGTGCAATTTGCAATAAACTGGTTAAGCGGGTAAGCGTACTTCACCTAATTACGTCAATGCACTAGAGAGAAAAAACGCACTTTGCTCACGTGAATTATGCCTGTCGGTTACTTTGCGACTCTGCAAAATAATCCGTTTCCGTGAAAAATCAGGGAAAACCGTTTATGCTAATTAAGCGTATGTAAAACCCATTACTTTGAAAAAGAGCAATACGCGCAATTAATTATTAAATTACAGTTCATGACACTGAAAAAAACAACTGGCAATGGCAAATCGAAGATTTTGAAGTTAATTAAGAAACATTTCCGTCGATTATTTTCCACCAATGAACGTGTTGGAATCATAAATTTGGTGACATCTTGAGATCTGCAGTATAATTTGTGGCACAGACAGATGGACGGACTGAAAAACAGGAAGCGCTAATTAAAAAATTTTGGAAATTGGTGGTCCAAACAAATAATCGAAAACGTTTATTTTACGTCATAGGGGCGGTATCGGATGCTCCACTCTCTACAAAGGATTATACAGGGTGGATGACTTCAAAACAGCATTTTTTTGTGTTATCCAAAATTATAAAAAGAATCTAGGTAAGTACCTTAAATTTGTGGTCAGTGGCGTACTTCTACATGGTCAAGGGAGGGCAACTATTAGTTTTTATTAAATATTATTAAAGAGGCCACTTTTTTGGGTATTATGCTGCATAAAAAACTTATTATCGTACATAATCATAAATAAAAATAATTAACTAACCAGTAAAAAAAGTGATCCTCTTAGTTATAGTCATACTTTAATTGTAGAGTCATACTTTACTATCAATGAGCCAGAAGTATAGAACCATCCTTTACTCATCACTGGGTAATAGGATCTTCGTATACTGGGGGGTATTCCATACCCCCCAGACCGCCCGGTGCTACTTTAATCACCAAGAAGGGGTAGAATTAGCAGAGGAGAGAGGAGCATCGCACCAAAACAGCGGTCTCGTAGAGTGTGGTATACTCCTCAGGAAAGAAAGATTCAGCTGTATTTTTCCACACACTATCATGAGAGCATTGAACGCTCATTGGTATTGTGGAGGAACCTAGTACCAGGGAGTATGAAATATCCCCCAGTACATCGAAGATTCAGTTACACTTTCGCAAGGGTTACCATGGTGGTGCTAGGGGTAGCACAGTATAACCTTCCTTTTTTACCAAAAATCGACTACACCAAAATTTCTCGGGAAAACACTTTTTCTTATTAATTTTGGTGCGTAGAATCCAAAACAATTCGTATTTTTCGATCAGACTTCTCAATCAAAAGTTATAGACTAGAAACCAATTTCGAAAGAAAATTCAAAGGGCTGTAACTTTTGAACTAGTAGCCCAATCTTGGAACTGTTTGAAATTATGGATTCTACAGGCCACATTCTATAAGAAAATTTTTTTCCGAGTCGATCTGAGACAATTTTTTCTTCGGCCCTCAAAAAAAGGCAGAGTATAACCTTCCTTTTTTACCAAAAATCGACTACACGAAAATTTCTCGGGAAAACACTTTTTCTTATTAATTTCGGTGCGTAGAATCCGAAACAATTCGTACTTTTTCGATTAGACCTCTCAATAAAAAGTTACGAACAAAAAACAAATTTCGAAAAAAAATTCAAAAGGTTGTAACTTTTGAACTAGTAGCCGAATCTTGGAACTGTTTGAAATTATGGATTCTACAGGCCACATTCTATAAGAAATTTTTTTTTCCGGGTCGATCTGAGACAATTTTTTCTTCGGCCGTCAAAAAAAGGCAGTGTATAACCTTCCTTTTTTACCAAAAATCGCGTACACCAAAATTTCTCGGGAAAACCCTTTTTCTTACTAATTTCGGTGCGTAGAATCCAAAACAATTCGTACTTTTTCGATTAGACCTCTCAATAAAAAGTTACGGACAAAAAACAAATTTCGAAAAAAAATTCAAAAGGTTGTAACTTTTGAACTAGTAGCCCAATCTTGGAACTGTTTGAAATTATGGATTCTACAGGCCACATTCTATAAGAAAATTTTTTTTCGGGTCGATCTGAGACAATTTTTTTTTCGGGGCTCAAAAAAAGGCAGTGTATAACCTTCCTTTTTTACCAAAAATCGACTACACCAAAATTTCTCGGGAAAACACTTTTTCTTATTAATTTTGGGTGCGTAGAATCCAAAACAATTCGTACTTTTTCGATCAGACTTCTCAATCAAAAGTTATAGACTAGAAACCAATTTCGAAAGAAAATTCAAAGGGCTGTAACTTTTGAGCTAGTAGCCCAATCTTGGAACTGTTTGAAATTATGGATTCTACAGGCCACATTCTATAAGAAAATTTTTTTCCGGGTCGATCTGAGACAATTTTTTTTTCGGGGCTCAAAAAAAGGCAGTGTATAACCTTCCTTTTTTACCAAAAATCGACTGCACCAAAATTTCTCGGGAAAAACTTTTTCTTATTAATTTTGGTGAGTAGAATCCAAAACAATTCGTACTTTTTCGATCAGACTTCTCAATCAAAAGTTATAGACTAGAAACCTACCATAAATACGAAATATTTGGGCATCCAGACGCTTGTCTTGGCAAAAGCATATCTTCACGAAGAAATTCAAAATTGGCCCTCGAAAATAAATTACTAATTTACTGAGATCATCTTGAAACCTGTGTGGGCCTATGGCATCCAGCTATGATTACTGATGCACCACGGTTCGTTCTCAACAAGGATAACGAGACCTATAAGTGCGTATTGTCAAGGAAAATGTTAAAACTTCAGCAGAACATTAGACAAAAGATTGTGGGCCCATCCGAAGAGACTAGTTGAAAAACTGAAAATCGGTGACTACAGCCTAGACAATGAAATATAAACGATTGGTTAAATAGACTTCATCCTCACTTAAAATTAGTCATGCCATGATTAAATAGTTCAAAGGGAGACTTCACTGGATGATCCCTACATGTCTTGTAAAATGTTGACAATAATTGTATTACTTATTATATTCTGGATATGTAGATTGTAATAAAAACTACTAAATAATAAAAACAATGATAAAACCAAGCAATATAACAGAAGTCTGTGGATAACAATATCAAACTTTTCCTCTTTTGGCTTCAAAGTAAATTAAAGTTTTTTGTCGATAAGACTACCTACTCGTTTGACAAATTTTGAATTAAAGATTTGGTGCAGTATCTGAAATCGAATGTGGATAACAGAAGTAAAGTCTATCAAGATTGAAATAAAAAGATAAACAATAAAAAAGCTTCCATATAATGATGCGCCCCTATTACCGTCGAGGAAGCTGTTCTAAATTACATAAAATCAATGAACCTTGCAAATAGGTGGTACTTGGCAGTCACATTCCGAACGTACATTAACGTCGTCAACTGTATAAAAAGCTGCATAGCGATCTAATGTGATTATAATACATGCTCTACCTTTGATGGCATATGTTGTAATGTGTAATGCCATGTGAAATTACATCCATTATTGCATATCGCTGTATTGTTAGAATTCGGGATCGCTAAGGGGACAACACTTGTGGCACTAAATTTATTACACACCGGTAATTCTTTAACCTATTATGATTTCCCCGCGCGCATTTGTCATTGTGTAATATGCATTTTTTTAAATGCAAATTGAGCCTCAATTTTGATTCGGGGAGAATACGTAATATTGGGAAAAGTATGCAAACTTTTAATAAGGTTTGCGTGTATACGAGTACTGTACAGTAATAATCGGTAATTGCAAGCCGAATGGATTCTCATACCTTTGCAGACGCCGGACAAGTAAACAAACGTGCGATCATTTCGTTATTTTACGCTACGTTATTCTTAAAGAAATTGTTAATGTAATATTTTTTTGTAAAATCAGTTTGTTTAAACACGCTCTATTAAAAACAAACATGACGAATGATTTGACGAAAAAACTTAAACGATTCGGAATTTCATTTTAAGACAATAATGTGTAGCAACTGCTGAGTCATTCATGGGAAAAATCTTGTGGTTATACGTTTCATAGAAGAAAATAAGCTATTCCATTAAACAACTAAAGATTATTGGCGTTTAATTGCGATTAAATTAATTTTTTGTTATTAGTAATTTTGGTTGAAGGATTTACGTGATACAATCACGGGTTGGGGACGTTGGGGTGCTTTATATATACAGACAAAAGAAGCAACCATCAACAGCTATGAATGCGTCAAATTGAATTTGCGCCATTATGTAAGAAAAAGACCTAGTTCTAAATTCCGCCTTCGAAATATTAAATTAAGAGCTTAAAGACAACAAATCCTGGTCTGTGAAAATTGAGGTACTCGGTGGTACTTCTGTTGACTTTTCTGACTAATAGAGAGGCAGGATTAGTAGTATTTAATGATTTTCAAGGATAAATACAAACACACCCTTAAATACCAATTAGTTCTAAATACCGTATATTTACGTTACGAAGCATCTTACAGCAAGCTATAGCCGATGATAGGCCGGTGGGCATTCACATTTAGACTATAAAAAATCTAAAAGCCGAGAATTAATATGTAAGGATACAAGGAAGTTTTATTTACGTTTGCATAACCCAACAGAGTGGGTAATGTAAAGAGTAGGTACCTACAGCAGGTACCACATATTTTTAACGTTATTATAGACGAATGTTAAATCAAAACCTGATTAAGATTATATGGTACCTTCCACAAAAGATTTTTTGAATATGTATACCTTCCAGCTTAAAATCATTATTGTTTGAAAGCATTTAGTCACCTAATTGTCGGTTTTGAAGATCGTTGAAAGTGCTGACGTAGCATGTAGGCGCCGACAACCAATTACCAAAGACTCCGATGGCGGCTTTCTTGATTCGTTATTAAGTCAAACATCAAGTAACAATTAATACGGTATAATTTTTCGGCTTCTTCCTAAATCTTTCTTTTTCTTCTCTCCCATGCGTTCACACGCCGATAAAAGGCGAAAACAAACTGCTTTTTTCTTTAAGTATCGCTAAAATTTTGGCGTAGTCATTTACTAAATTGAGGTTCTTACATCCGGCGCCTTAAACCAAGTTTAGCAAATACACCCCTAAGTGTTACAGTTACAAGTTATTATAAGTAGATTAGTGTTGAAAGTGACAGTCATGTTGTAATAGGGTGGGCGTTACTTTACCCTGTATTTAATCAACCTTGCCGCTTAGGGGTTGTTTTCCCCCATAAATGAATAAACACGGACGGTAAAGAATTCGCATCCTCCTAATTATTTATTTAAATAAACACGCTCGAGTATAAGCGATAGGTGTAGAATTTACATTATTTAAATAAATTATTGAATATAAATATTTATAAGGGATTATACCGAAATTACGGAAATGCGTGCAGGTGCAATGCAATTATTACCGACATTATTTATTACGTTTACCAAATCGGTTTTCTTTTCTCAATTATTGTACTCAAATTCTTGTAAATTATATGTGGAAATGGATTATGGTCTCAATGTAGAAGTGTGGTATTTTGTTTATAACTTCAAGTTCTACGTTTATAACTCGGAATTCTAAAGTGCGGTTCACGTTTTGTGATTTTGCTTACGATTTCTCTTGCGAGTTGTCATGTTTTCGGGTCCTATCATACTTATTCGTAATTGTTGGTAGCAAATCGTATAACGTAAACAGAAAGCCATCAAAACAACCACTAACAAAAGTCAAATGACGAAAAATCATACGGGAAATCGTAAGCTAAACCACATAACGTAAACTGCACTATAGAATTCCGAGTTACAAACGTAGAATTTGAAGATATAAACAAAATACCACACTTCTACATTGAGACCAATCCATTTCCACATATAATTTACACG